GGATTGGACTGCCAAAGAAAATAACTGATTCAGCCGATGGACAACCATTTGTTACTGGATTATTAACTCTTTTAAGACAATATCGTTGTGATATGGTTAAACGGTTTATATCACTTCTATGTCGTTATATTAAATCACTAGTCGAATCTTCATATCCAAGGTAATTTATTTGTTTAAATCTCGAATAATATTTTTTTGTAATCTTTTGTATTTTTTTATTTACAGTGCCAGCAAGTCAACCGAGTTTCCAGTGGAAATATTCAACGATTTAGTCATTCTTGAAGAACTTCTGAGACTTGGTAATTTACCGAAAACTTATGTGACTGAATACATTCCTAATTATGTGATGGACCAATTCCATTCTTTTCATTCCACGAATCAGTAAAAAATCTTCAAATCAATCAATTTTGAATTCCTATTTCCACAACCTTATTAGCAAAGGTTAAGGTTAATAGCAAGAAATGAAAAGCAGCAAAATCTTTATTTTCATTGATTCTTTATGTTCATCAAACAAATTTTGCATTCATTACATTTTATTTGTCATCATTTTACTTATAAATCAGAAGAAACTTCGAGTCTGTAGTAAGTTAAATAATTAATAATCAACCACGAGTTCTCAGGTAAAGGTTTGGCTCACATTTTATAAGTCTTTGTGTATCATTGGGGAATCGCGAATAGACATCATCACAAATAAGCCAGAAATATTGTAGGACATTGAATTGCCTGTAAATTTTTCGTCTTTGTCTCATTGCTTGTATTGGTCGAACGTGAGACCAAATTTTCGCATTCAATTCAACGTTATTAATAAGATCTTGTATCTTGTTGAAGATACTTTTAGTATTTCGATGTTGACAAAAACCATATCTGCACACTCCCTCTGGAACCATCCATTCAGGTATTAGGCGATAAATTACACAAGTATTGGGAAGGTTCACATCAGGCGGCGAATCAAAATAAACATTATAATCGAGAAGAAAACGGAAACCGGCAAAACTAATTGCATCACAGAATCGCTCCTTAGCCAGATGGTTCGGATAGCCATGAGAACTGAAAAGCAATATAAATGAATCTGTTAATACATGTTAATACATAATCTTTAAATTGTTGTGATTGATGATAGATTACTTGGTCAGGTTCAAAATAGAGTAATAATATTCATAGCTGGGTCTCTCCCCCTGTACATTAGGATCCCGAAGATAAATACTATAAACATGTTGGCTTGGTACTCCAGTAATTGATTCAAGCTATGGATTTGCAAAAATAAGATTGGAATAAATTATTGCTTGGAATGATGGAATGATAAACTTAACTTACCTGTGCGAACAATTGTTTTTTTAGCTGTTGATGGTCATATTCATCATTCCAATGAATGACTATGTCATGATAGTCACCTAAAAACTTCACTTTGAATGTAGCTAAACGAAATTAAAGGTTTATTTCATGGATTATTTCATTTGACAGACTATTAATACACAAGAAATAAAACTTACTTTTATTGGAATCATTCTGTTCTGCCATTTTAACAAGCATTATGATCAATATTCAGTGGAATTTTAAAAAAGGAAACACGTGGAAATGAGTTTAAGCTGAAAGTAAACTGACAAAATATGATAAAGGTTTGGTTCTTAACACAGAACGGCAAGGCTGTAGAAGTAGCCGCCAGCTCACTTTGGCCTTCTCACTTTAAGGCCAGTATTGCTTTTGTAACTATTGAAAAATTTAGAGTCCCCAATGAGAATCTCAATTTGAGATTAGCCTCTCATTATTGTTACCATTTAAACAATTAATGGAATTATTGCCAAGAAAATAACTGGTTCAGCTGATGGACAACCATTTGTTACTAGATTTTTATTTGAGTTGAATTTGCAGTGTAAGCAGATCAACCGAGTTTCCAGTGATAATATTCAATGATTTAGTCATTCTTGAAGAACTTCTAAGTCTTGGTAATTTACCGAAAACTTATGTGACTGAATACATTCCTAATTGTATGTGATGGATCAATTTCATTCTTTCCATTCCACGCATCAGCAGAAATTTACATAACATTAGCTATACACTATGTATTGTTATTTGCAAAATTCGTTATAATTCAACAATTGGTTGAAACAAAATTTAAAATTTTTTCATATAATTTGTCTAAATCTTTGTCTTTTTCATTGGGTTAAGCTTTTCTCTAATTCTTGCTTTTATTCTTTTCTATTGCGGTAGAAAGTCTTTTCTCGGCAGCTTTCCTAGCATTTTGGCAATTCTTCGCATCAACATTCAGAATCAGGAATTTCAGTCATGTCAAAAAAATGACTTGTTAAACCCTGATTGTACTTCTAATGATGATAACTTCTTGTTTGTGGCGCTTGCGAGTGAGTCGACTTGAAAGGTCACTATCGTAGCGTGAAAGATCGTAAACTCATTAGCCAAAGCTAGTCAATCATATTAAGTTCATACAGTAAGTAAAATCATTTGTTGATACTCAAAGATCATTTCATAATCAGTAATGCATTGTAAACCTGAATTCGCATCATTTGAGCATTGAAACTGAAATTTAAATTACGTTGCACTAGTGAAATTGCACTAGAGTACCCGTTTTTTAAGCCTGTGCGATTGTTCCACACCACTATCCTCTTAAGGCAACGTTTTTTACTCTCTCATTACTCGACTTACTTTTACTTTGTTAGAAGAAAGGGTTTCCTTATTTTTCTTTCAATTCAATGAGAAGAAAAATGGGCCAACGAGGACTTTTTATGCCTTATTGTTATACTTCTATGTTGAATTGGATTCTTTTCATTGCAATCGCTCCATTTCATGCTAGTTACTGATCTCTTGAAAACTTCTTTATTGTTTGCTTCATTAGTGTGGTATAAGTATCAACATTTCATAAACTGTTCACAAAAAGACATTTAACCAATGGTATTTGTATCTAGGAATATTAATTGCTTTCTGAATAGAAACATGCTAATCATCATTCAAATTGAACAAGAAACTGCGTTTGAAAATGAAAAAGTTATTCTACTAGCCTAGCAACTCAAATACAGCTGATGAAAATTAAATTTAAAACGAGTAATAGAAATGTCAAAGTTGATAAGATGAGACATCGAAATTTGTTTTTTATCTCAGGTGTGTTCAATAAGATTTCGTATTTTAACTTTTTGATTTATTATAGTTGAACAATTGAAAATATCGACACAAGCTAGCTTTTTATACTTCTATGTTGAAGGGAAATCTTTTTATTACGATCGCTTCATTTTATACTAGTTGAAAGCTTCGTTGGCGTTTACTTCATTATAGTTGAATAATTTTGCAGTTTCGATATGATTAAATGGACTTCAAACAGCAGACTTTTGAAACTTTAAGGCTATAAGGATATGATTTTATCGACAATTTGAATGAACCATCACAATATACGCGTATATAACCATATAGAATGAGTCATAAGTTCAAAAAAAGGCTTAAGCTAAGACCAGAATTTTGCTTAGCATTTTCGCCAATTATTCTGAATTTCATTCACTAATCGCATCATAAAAATGAGTCAGCAATTTATCAATCTAAAAGTATTTCTTGGACTGTAATCATCTTAATTTTTAAGATTTATGTCTCTTTTTTATAGCGACTTATTCACTTTGTTTGTTTTCCCAAGTGCGTCACAATATCAATGAACAAAATTCATATCGGAAAGGTATCTATTCATTAACTTCACAAGGCTTTTTTCATGTCAAAACGGGTTTTTACAATTTTCAAGGCGATGAAAATTTTATTCACTTGATTATCGTTAGAAAATCAGAGTTTTATCAGACAAAATCGAGTAAAACGTACTCAATTTTATTTTACTGCATCAGCCACTTGACTGTAAAAGATTCAAATAAACAATGAGCTAATTAAACATCTGAACCTAAGTGACATCTAAGTGAACCCGAAATGAATGATTGTTTTTATTGTTGTAGCATGTGTAAAAATTATGTTTTCGATGGTTAGTTTACATCAGTAACATTTTTTTGTTGAAATTTTGACATTTTAAGTTAGTTTGGAAAGTCTTGAAAATTCCAAAAAAAACTGATTTTAAGTTATCATTATCTGGTGCGGAAAATCACTCGATATTAAAAAATTTATTGCCATTTTTGCGAACTCTATTCAAAGCAAAAAGTCATACCATATACATGTATGTTGAGTTGTAAATTTTGTTCTGGAATAGACATTAAACTGATGATAACTGATGTTAATATTTGCATCCATAAATTTATGAGCCACGTATTAGCCGAACAACATCAGACAAGATAGCTAAAATGCCCTGTGCATTGTTTTAAAATAAAACATCCTTCTCTTTATTCAACCAAGAGGCTGGTTCGGTTATGGCTGATCCGTTTACTCGTTTCTTACTTGATTTGCAAAATCGAAATGGTTTAATTCATCAGCAAATTCATTCTATTTCCGGGAAACCTTATTTACACAAGGTGAAATAGATGTAGCTTGACATAGCTGCAAAAATCTGTCTGCTGATTTAAAATTCACTTAATAAAAGAAACTGAATGACCTTTAGATCGCTTATACAGTACAAAACTGATACATTGATTATTTGATACTAAACAACCAGCTTATACTAACTAGTTATAAAACGATTTCCCTGGCAATTCAAGTTATCCATTTCAAACATGAATCGTTTCTTTGTTACCTTTTTCTGGGATCTACTTTATTTTCAGTGAGTTTTTTTCGTTCATTTTTTCTAGAATCAACAACCATTGTACAGTTTGATTAGATTCTATTAATCACATTTCCAATTTAAGTGTTTTTATTGTCAGGAAAATTGTGATGGTAAAAAATGTCTTGCAAATCAATGTTGTGTGTTGTATCAAGGTAAGTACTCAATTTTTACACTTTTTGAATTTCTGAAGCTAACCCACCTATTTGATGTACATTCTATCTATTGTTTATAGGTTGCACAATGTGAACACGCCTGACTAATACGCATAAATAAGCGATGCAATCACAATTACATTTTAGAAGTCAGAAAGTAAAGTCTCTAGTACTACGTTGATTATTATAACATTGCTCGAACAGAACGTATTTTGTAAAGTACATCTGTATTAAAATATCATCAAATGAGTACGGAAACATGATTAAAGATTTTTAAATACAGTTAAAAATTCAACCTGCAACAGAAACCGTTTTGAATAAAAAATGCCACAACCCCATCTTTAAAAAGTAACAATAATTAAAAATTAACACAACAAGTAGCAAAGCAGCTTTTTGATCAAACCTTTGAGATTGGATTTTCAGAATACCATTCAGAATAAAATGGAGCCACCCTTGAACACAAAATCATTCACCCTTCAACATTTTTTTCGAGTCGACAATGGAAGTCATGAGACAAGCGTATAAAATACATTGAATTGGTATCCAAATTATACTTTATCTATTATTTTATTCATTCAAGGTAGACGCTATTGCATTAGTAAGGGGATTGAAGGCCAATACTGCGGTGAACTTGGCGGTGTTACCACTTGTCCATGTATGGAAGGACTAACATGTAAAATTGATAAATGTCGGGTCGCCACTTTTGGGGCCCAATAGAAGAAGCGCATAAAAGAGCAAAATAATAAACTGCAAAAACAACGATGCATTGAAATGATGAAATAATTAAATAATTTCTGTCGTTGATCTTCTTTTGTGCTAACTTGAAAACCAGAAGGCAGATCTTGCAGATATAAGGCAGGTAAGATTCGTGAATTGAGGGAATATAAATGCTAAATTCGAATACACTCAGTTATTTGCCCTCTGAATGGTCAGTTTTCGACCATTAAAACCGAATAATCTGGTCTATTAGATTAATAAATTGGATTATGAAAATTGGTATCGTGAATAAAACCCACGCGTGTTCACGAGTCAAAAAATGGGCAGAAACTTTCAATGGACCACATCTTGGGACGTTTACTAGAGAGATAAAAAGCAAATTGATCCAGCAGAGTACTGACAAAAATATTTGCTTTGAGAAGCCTCAACTGATATTTCATATTATTACTGATATTGTTATACAACTGAATTCTGATAACAGCGAATCCTTTTGAAGAAAGCCTTCGTACAATGGTCCAGTTAACAATAGGCAATCCATAAGGCATCAAAATTATTAAATTCAAATGTGTAATCAGCGAAATGAAGTTGTTGTCGTTACGAAATTACATCATTATCGAATGTAGCAGTTTGAACCAAAGAAATTCGTATAATCGCACTTGACATTGTCTATGAAGAGCGAGACAAGATCGTGGTTTTGCATCATTATTGAGATAGATAAGGTGAAAATCACACAATGTGAATATATGATAACCTTGGATAACCTGAACCTTGCCACATAGCAAATTGGTATAGTTTACAGCAAAAATCACTGCAAAATAAATGCCAATTCAACCACTGCTAAACTTCACATGCCAGAAATTTCTTAACGATTATTAGATCTAACAAGGAAAGTGCCTTTGCTGGTACGATCATTTTCAATTTTTTTCGGGCTTATATTGTAGAGGGCAAAAAATAATTAGACACGTATTTTTGCTTTTGTTTCGCTAGTGCGCGGTTATTGATATTTAAGCACTTTTTATTAAAGATAAAGGATTTAGTAATGCACTGCAGCCACTGAAAAGTACATAAAACAGATGAAAAGCAGAAAATGAAAATCTCATAATGAAATTTGTAAATCATTTTTCAGTAACTCCAATAGATTACAATGCAATATCCTCTCTTAAAAGTACCTCTCGTACCAGCAAAGGCACTTCCCTTGTAAGCAATAGAAATTTTAGTTTAATCTTGAGATTTAAGCTTTCCAATTATATCAGCCAAAAATCCTTTGACCCTTTCTCTCACATTTTTGAGTAACTCTTTTCTGATCTCGGAAAGTTCTGCTTGTTCCAAACACTTCCTCAAAGATTTCAACTCATCACGATCTTCTTGTGCCAAAGATTTAGATTGTTTATTGGCTTCTCTTGCTTTTTCAATCAAATCGCTGAAATTACTGGCAAGAATTGTATTTTCCTCACAGCGAAGATCGGTCTCCTTCGAATCATTTTGTGATGAAACATAATCAATGAATAAATTACAAGGACACTAGCTATCTCGCTTCGTCGTCA